ACTATAAACTCATGAGCTTGGTATCTATTTAATTGACTTAGACTAAGATTAGACGTAGTTTAGTCCTTACCTAGTCCTGATTTAAAATTGTTTTACGTTACTTCAAGTCCTGGTTTAGTCTGGCATGACAAAAACGGGACTCCACACTTTTTTCACCGAGGGCCACAGATTCGGTGGTCAATAGTGAATCGTGCAGATATAACTGACAGTTAACAGCCAGTATTAATTACAGGTCTGTATCACAATGTAGTGTGTTATATTTGATGTTTATGAGTAGGATTACTGATGCTTGCAGTAGAAAGTACAACCAATCCTTTGTATCAATTCATTTATTTATTGCTTCTTATCAGTAATAAAATTGTAGCCTATATTTATCAAATAAAGGTTCACACACACTTTGCGCTCAGTTTTTGTAGACTTCATTTGGTCCTGTCCTGGTTTTTGCCCTGTTCTAGTCAAGGTTTAGTTTTACATATACTATAGCAATATTAACAGTAATAACAGTATTGTATATGAATATTGTTGCAGATCTTTAGGCACAAAAACGATTCAGTTCTCTTCCACAGGGGATATTTATTACAAAGCCACACACACAAAAAAAATTTAATCGGCTCTTAACAGTCCCCGTTCTCATACCCGTGCCTAGCCACATTTGAAACAGTGGGTGCAGTTGTCTCCCTCTCCGTTATCCTGGCAGGTCTTGCAGCCTCTCCTCTGACAGGGTCCTGTGTTGTCTGCTGGCCTCCTGGTATGCTGAAGCTTGTTGTTATTAAGAGAAGCTAGCACCATCTGTTTCACCTCTGCAACCTCAGCCTTAAGTTCTGTCACTAAGGCTTGTACCTCAGGTGGAGCTCGGGTTGGTTTGGTGTTCTTCTTGGATGAAACTGAGGTAGTCAGTGGGCTGCTGCGCGGCCCCTCTGCTGTCAGCAGTTTGTTAATCTTTGGCACTTTGGCATTGTTTCTCTTTAGCTTGTTCAGCCTCTCCATTTCAAGATTGGCTGCCTCATTCAGTCTCGCAATCAAGATTTCATCAGTCACATCCGGGTTGTCGAGAAGCGACTTTATCTGAAACTTAATGTTGTCATTCAGTAGACCTGTACCCACTGACCTCAGAAACTTCCTCTTGACCAAATCTGCTCCATAGTGCTCCTCCTCTTTTCCTCTGGATATATACAGCAGCCTGTCTTTCAGCTCAATGGCTCTGAAGAGGAACTCTTGAGGGGACTCTTTTGGGTCCTGGGAAATGTTGATCAGTTTTTGGTACAAGTCTGATGTGTCATCTTCTCTGTAATGTCCTTTCAGTATTGTTTTTAACTGAGTGAGTGTCAAATCAGTCTTTATTTCCAGCATGTCACGAAGTTTGTGCCCAGGGCTGATGGCTCTTATCACTGCCTCAGTCACCTCTGGCTCACTGTGGCCTTTGTGGAGCCCGTTCTCTATTTGATTTTTTATAAGGAGCTCTTGAGGTTACAATGTGCAGTTATCATGCTAGTTGTTATTAACTCTGTCCCTCTCTGGCCTCTGAAATTTGAGAAAAGCTCTTAAAAACTGAATAATTAGGATGTTCAGAATGTAAAGTTAGTGAGGAATAACTTTGGGCCACTTCTTTTTTTTTTAAAAAGATAAAAATCAGAACTAGTTCTTATTAGTCATTCACCTGTTTTACAGGTAAGTGAGAATTAATAACTAGTAAGAACTTAAATCACAGTTCCCACCATATTATATAAACTAAAACAAAAATAGGCTTGTTAAGAGGCCAGCGAATGAGATGGACTATTGCATCACAGCTCAATAAGCAGCTATTATAGTTATTATAGTATGGGATGAATAGTTAGGTTAGAAGTTATGGGACAGTGTGGCCGAAGGGCGAGCCAGGGCAGGCCTCTACTGTTCCAGTGTTGCAGGAAATTGCAGTATCATTGTGCAAGACTGGAGCAAAGGCAAAGACAGCCCAAGTACAGCTGTATTATATAAACACAAAGGTGGATAGTACTCAGTTGGCCTGTCACAATCACACATTTTGAAGTGTTGTATGTTGCTGAAGAAAATATAGATGATAAACGATAAACAATAATATTGACACGAAATTTATGCCACTGACATGATAACTCTTTAGTGATTATCCCCCAAAATCTATTCTCAAAGTACAACGTGGTTAAAAAACGCAAAGGGCAATAAATAAACAGAATGAAACACTTGTAACTGTACTGTAAATAGTTTGAATCTATAATGAGTATAGAGGTTATTAATTCAATCCTACACAGCTCCACAGCTCCAGACTAGTACTACTACTACTATTAAGAAAAAGTACCCATGATAAATATTGATCCCCCAGTTATTGTTCCATACTGACTGATAAGTTGACATAGTATTTATCGTGACAAACCTAGTACTTAATTACATTTGCTTAAGTAACTTTTAAAATAAATGGTACGTTTCTTCTCAGAGTACTTTTCAAGCAGCATACTTTTATTCCTACTTGAGTAATATTTCTACTGAAGTTTTAGTAAAGTGTGAGTAAGTCTACACATGTCAAAAGCTTTATGTTAAGACTATGAAATTATTTGAATATTTGTTTTTCTTGCACCACTCAGATTTAGTTCATGATTATTATTTTTTTGTCTATGCTTAGATACGTGGACTACTACATTGTACTTCTACTTATTAAAAGGCCCCTATTACGCTATTTTCTGATCTATGTTAAAATGTTCTTTCCTCATAACAAATTCATATGTTTAGCACAAACCCTGCATATTTCGGCTGAGTTCTTCATTCAAACAGAAAACACTCTGTTCCACCTTGTGATGTCATTCCATACAGCTTCACTAGAATCATTTGGATAATTTCAGCCCTGGAATTGCCAGTCTCTACTGAACTAAAGGTAAAATGTAGCTGTTAATTTAATCTGTCTATAAAAGCAGTTCAGTTTTGTCTGTCAAGCGGTTCACATCAGTATAGCCGGGTACATGTGGATTCATTTTTGTTGCTTTTGCCTAATTTGCGCATAGTTATTTTTTGTAAATATGTGTTATTTTTGCCACAGACACCACGGTGATTATGAATACATTTTTGTCTCCCTCCTGCTTGAGGCCACATTGTCCAGCTTCCCCACACTAATAATAAAGTGTTACTCAAACATGTGTGAATGAAACATAGAAACATAGAACAACAGAATATAACATGGCTTAAAGCTCACAAGAGTCAATTTTGTGTAACTGAGGACATTTAATATTGAATAATAATTAATAATTTGAAGTAACATTACTCTTGAGTGCAATTTTTGGCTTCTCTACCCACCTCATTATAAGTCTGCTCTGCATTGTAATGAGAAAGTATGTTTTAGCATGTTAGAGTTGTTTTTGTTAGCCTGATTCATCAGCCGCTTTTACTTCATTTCACTTCGTAGAAACCGTCTGACCTCTCAGTGTTTTTTTTGTTTAACCAATTGCTGCTATTTGGTAAATACGTATGTAATGCGTTGCTAACGGGGCTAATTGGTATATTAAGCTTTTCCCAAATCCCGTATGAAGAAGGGCAATAACGTCTTTCCCCTTGAGGAAATTAACCAAACATTCACTTTGTTCCGGCTTTAAATCCTCAATCTCGGGAAACATTGACAACACTGAATGTATGGCCCTTTGCTGATTGGCTGGTGCCAGAACTTGCACTTTTTACAAATCGTCTAGTGTATTTTGATTCCTGACCTAGTGGCTGGAGAGAAATGAAAATGAGCGGAGGTGCTAGGTGGCGCCAACCTGGGTATGTTTTTGTTAATGTGTCTGAAAAATCCATTCTGGCTGCCGAAAGTTGTGGAATGCACAATAAACTCAAACTTCATCACAAAGAACAATTAGTTTTAGGGCTACTAGTCCTGTTTTTTCGTGTTTTTAAGACAGGAAAAATTAGCTACAACACCTTTAACAAAATTGTATGTCTTTTCAGTAGTTTTCAGATGGCATATTTACTTATAGTTGAGTGATATATTGTACAGTGTAACACTACTTGGGGAAACCTTTTGGTTTCTGTGAGTAGGTCTACAAGTTACAAAATCTTTATGTTGACGATATTAATGATTTCAACATTTGTGTTTCTTGTACTACCCTTTTATGTGATTTTGTTTTGCTAATTTTTATGGTCTATCCTTTTTTACCAATACCAGTGCATTGTTTAAAGTGACAGTATGTAAGATTTTGCTTTTGAAACATGTCTATCAACATCTAGCTGTGTCCCCAGATATGTAAGCATCAAATCAGTCTTACACTTACTGATAAGATTGTCAATTATAAAAAACATTGGACATGATGGCTAAGTTGTTATTTTGGTAATTTGGTTCTCAAGACTATGATCAAACCAGAAAGAAAACCATCCCTCACATAAATCTCATTTCCGGTTTCAACACTGAAATCCTGTTTAAACCTAAAACATTTCTCTCTGATCTGAACAGTCACTACCTAAACCCCAGCACCTACAGTCAATCATGAATCAGTGCTACTGCAGCCTCTGCAGCTCAGTGAGTGAACTCTGGCATGGCCATGCTGTGGAAGATTATAGCCAATACAACAACATTTCCATGGGAACAAGCGGACAGAGGTATGTTTTTTTTCTGATAAACATCCAGAATGACAAAAAATCATGTTTATATTGTAGCCTTATTTTTTTTTCAAAAAAGTGACATACCTTTACCTTTGCTTTATTTGAAAGTTAGAGCTACAGTCCAATATGTTCTGTGTTATAAGTCATACTGTGGGTCACGGTAGTACCTGTAAATCTTGATCAGCACTTCACAATATTATGATGTCACGTGTTAAGTAAACCCAAGCTACTAGCCAACTCTGACCCAGTCTTACAAGTCTTCCTAGAACCCTTTTCCTTTTCCAGACATGTCTCATATTCATCATCCCTCCTCCTCCTGTTGTTTGTTACTGTTTAACCGGGTACCGGCTGCTCCCATTGGCTCACCCCTCGCACACTTTACTCCTCACGCAACAGCTCCAGCCCTGTATTTATAAAGCAGAGAGCGTTCGCCCTGACTGTGCCGAACGTGTGCCCACTGCCCTGGGACAGCACCAGGAGCGAAGTCAGCAGGCATCATGGACCTCCTCAACTTCTCCACGGAGACCTGGACGCTCCTGGCAGCGCTCATCACACTCTTTGTTATGTAAGTGGCCTACATACTTCAGACAGGGTCAAATAGGAGTGCACTGTTCTAGCTGATGATAATATTCAGATGACATGACAACATTCTATAGGCCAATATGAAGTTCTTGGGTTTAGTCACGATTAGAAAAGATCAGGTTCAGCATTTGTGTATTTACTTTTTGGGTGTTTCAATGGAAAGTACAAAGTTATCAATAGAAAAATCTGTCTGTTGTTTTTAGTTTAGTTTACTTTATTAAAATCCCCATTAACTACTGAAATATGAGTAGCTATTCTTCCTGGGGTCTTCTCAAATTCATACACATTTTATTGTATAATACACAAACTACATACACACACACAATAACAAGACACGAAAGCCAAATGTATAGTAAAATAATGAACTAAGAATGTAAACTGTTAATTAAAACAGTATAATTAATTAAAGATAGAGTCAGAGAGTGTATGACATAATGACATCCTAGAATCTGAAACCACCTATTATTACCTATTATTTAGTCGTGGCTGAACCTTTTCAGATTTAGTGTTTGTTCAGTTTCTTTAGTCCAAGTTCAGTCCGAGTTAAAAACTGGGGAATTTCCGGTTAAGTCCTGTTTTCACATTTTTTTCCCCCTTTTGTCCTGGATTAAACCTAAAAAATGTGGGTCAAGACTTTTTTTTTTTTATAAACTTCAGGGGAGGGTGAAATAAAGATAAAATCTAAGCTCACACAGGCTACATTTGTACTTTAAGTAACGTATGAAACAGTTGTTTTAAAGGAGTGAGAGTGTTGTCTCCCTTTGTATTCGGTGTTTACATATTAGGCTATTACAATCATTGCATCATGTTGGAACTGTATGTAGCCTGCACTCTGAATAGGTCCGGCACGATAATCACTCTATTGTTCATGTGTTTATATTTGGTCAATATTTAACTCCTTACAGTCTACATACATTCTAATCAGTCTGATACCCATAAAATAAAACATAATAAGTTTAATAAACAATTAAATCAAACACTAAGTAAGTCTTTGATCAGATGTACACAGAAGCTAAAGTTATTGTGCCAACCCATTGACTTATCATTCAATACATGACAGATGGGATATCATTTTGGGGGTCAATATTTATCGTTGGCACTTTTACTTTGTAGTAGTGGGAAACGTTTGGTTATATTTCTGTACTATGATGAGATTTGAACTGTTGACAGTTGAATTAATAACTCCTATGATTCATTATAGATACAAACTGACTACTAAAGAGTATCATTCTGCTGTTTATTTATGGTAGCAATATATCACGCTTCAGATTTGTTATTGTGACTGTCACTGACAGGCCTACAAATAAACTGCCTAAACCTGTTACAACAGGGCACAAGCAAGTTTTTCTCATGACACTTTTGACAGCTCAGAAACTCCAGAATTCTCTCATTGAGGTGCAGAGGCCACACTGAGTCATGAGTTGCTCCTTTTAGGTCCATTTACATTCATTTTCTGTTTAAATGTTGAGCTCATTGTGCTTTCTGATTGGATAATTGTCTTGAGAACCAAAATACGAAATTATAACAACTTGGCAATCATGTCCAATGTTTAAGAATAAACCGGTATTTAAAATAGTTGCTTTTTGATTTGTTTACCTGTATCTGAGGACACAGTTAGGCCATGTTTAGGTAAATTCAGTATTGGGAAGTAACTCGGAATACTTTGGTACACTATCGCATTTGATGGTATTCAGAAAACAAGTACTTTCTTAAAATCAGTGGAGTATATTGTGGTACTTCAATCACACAATTTAGTCTTCAAACTGCACAGAATCAGTACAAAAAAATAAACTCTTCTCGTTTTGTACATGCTTTTGTCATTTTTCCTTCTCCAAAAGCAGAACAAATGGTAAAACAAATGCAAAGCTGATGCAAATGCAAAGCGTTTTTACACTACAATTAATGCAACTGTGCGTGAAAGTATTCCAAGTATTCACAATACAGTACTCTGATTGACCCATGTAACAGAGCAAAATACATTTTAATACAGGTATTCAGTATTCTGCAACTAAATACGTTTAGTTCTGCAACTAAATACATTTAGTTCAAAATATTCTTCCCATCCCTGTGTAAGATAAACATTGACAAAACACTTTTACGTTTATTTTCTTTTGAGATGTTCCTCAGGCTTGTACACTGTAAAAATCTGTTTCTATTGGTACAGGTTGGGTCTCAAATTCATAACTTGCTCTGACCTGTGTTACATAGACAGTAAACAAAGATATAATGGAAGAAAAGGCTTTAAAAAGGTGTGGACCGCCGGGCTTTTGTGATAGTCATTATGTAACAGCGTCCCTTTTGTTACACTCCACAGATATCTCTACTGGCCCTATGGAGTTTTCAACAAAATGGGGATTCCTGGCCCAAAACCTGTGCCGTTTTTCGGAACAATGCTGGCATATAGAAAGGTGAGTACAAGCGAATCATTACATTCTGACAAACAAAAATAATCACTATGTAAAAGAATGTACCAACATCAAAATTGTGCCCATGCTCACTTTCTTTTCGGAACGTGGCGGCTATAGGATTATCTCTGTTCATTTATATATGCAGTCTATGTTTGAGGGAGGAGGTAAAGAGCCTATATATATATAAGGAAATACATCTCTGAACTGAACTACTGGTCTAACATACCATTTACCACCCACCTACAATTCCGTCATCACACCCAAACCAAAACAGAAAGAACATAGGAATAACCAGAGTGTGCTAATAGGTGTGAGATCACCATTAGGAATCATTCAAAATATGACATCTCAGGGTAGTTCAATGGACTTAACCAGTAACACACTGTAAACTAATCTAAGTGTGTTGGTTTAACTATAGTTAGCTCCTCAATTTAAACAGATATTGAAGGCAGTGACTTACTGAACCCCGTCAGAACTCAAGAAGCCTCTGATCAAAACTAAAAAAAATTTCCAGTTGAAATTTTGCAATATTAATTGAGTCATTTCTTGGGCATTACATTGCAAAAAATTCTGAAGTAACAGTACTCTTATAAGAGTAACATTTTGGGCTGTTCTGTGTGCTCTCCTCTGTTTGAATCTTGTCAGTTTGAGCACTGAAAGTAGACTAAATTTGGAGATGCATGCACTTTTACAAGACAGAGTAACACATGGCATCACAAGGTGAGACAATTCTGTAGGATTACTCAAACATGCATAATTAAAAACTGATCACAAATGTATTTGTGTAAAAATTATTGATACTCATAAAAAAAAACATCAAAATCATTCAGAAAATATGTAACAAAGTTAGTTCTTTTTCAGACAAGGCTACAAGGGTATTATGGTCTTTATTCTTAATCTGGAACAGACACATTTGAGCACATGTATTGAAGTTTTAAATAATGTATTGATTTATAAAGTCATGGCTATTGTGAAGAAGATATCACACATTATTTGGTACTACTGCTATTCACAGGTGAAGAAAGTCCAATTATCATTGAAACAGCTGAATGCGATTCAGGGTCCATGCCACCAAAGCTGCAGTAATATCAAAGCAGTTTCATGAGAGACCAAAAGAACAACTCCACATGTTTTCATGACATTGTTACAGATTGTGTTGCATTTGTTTTGTTTCACAGGGGTTCATGAACTTTGACATGGCATGCTTCAAAAAATATGGGAAAATCTGGGGGTAAGTCAGCTGTCTACATCAACATTTACATAATTTATTTTCTACTATCTATATTTATCTGAATTATTTTTAACCCTTATTAAAAAACTGTTAACGTGTCAGCTGCATTGATCTGCCCTTCTCTTACACTTGTGTGTGTTTACTGACTCTTCCTCTAACTGTTTTCTTGTGTCTGTTTTTTGCAGGATCTTTGATGGGCGTCAGCCGGTGCTGTGCGTGTGTGACCCTGCCATGGTGAAAACCATCCTGGTCAAAGAGTGCTACTCCCTGTTCACCAACCGCAGGGTAAGGGCTCCTGACTCTGTCCAGATGACCTGCTAGCTAGTTCATCTTTCACCCATCCAGGTACAACAATACTTAATACAACAGTAATAGGCCAACTGGATAGTTTGTTATTTTTCTCAAAACATTTTGGTGATCATCCAGCCACCTCTAGCTGTAAGCCTGGATGTCCCTAGACTTTTCCAGACAGCTGCAGGTTGATGACTAGTTAGACTGACGCCTGTGTTGCCAGATAAGATGTGCATTTCCCCCTTTACCACTGAGGATCCTGGGGCTGACTTCCTCAGTCTATATGAGTGCTAACATGCTGCCTGTGCTCCATCAGAACTTCCGTCTGAACGGGCCTATGTATGACGCTGTGTCCATCGCTGAGGACGACCAGTGGAGGAGGATCCGCGGTATCCTGTCTCCATCCTTCACCTCGGGGCGCCTCAAAGAGGTCAGCACTTTCAGCACCAGTTTTCACATAACAGCCCCTAGTGGTCACTCAGCCCACCCATGTAATCCTAGTGATGCTGACATGAATACCGGGTGCCTGAGCAGCCAGTCCTTTGCATTCTGTACAAATCTAGAAGGGTCTGGAATCGGACAAGCAACCATCCTAACTTGGGATGGTCCAACCATAGCTGCTAATTTGTCTCACGTCTCTCAAAAGCAGAAGACATCTCCTCTCCAAAATTCTCGTACCATTCAGAACAAAATATATCACTAGCTGCGATAAAGCTTCAGTTGTTGATCTACAGAAGCTTTCATGTTTGTTTTAACACAAACAGACCATGCATTTCTCTGATTGGTTAATCCACCTGTCAATAGCTATTGAAAATTGGGAAGACAGGATATGGTTCCACTTTTGTCAGAAAGTGTGGCTTTGGCTGGTCAGGCATGAACAGAGGGCTGCTACTGCCACCATTGTTATGATTGGTCCTCTGTGCTTTTGCTGCAGATGTTTGACATCATGCAGCACCACTGTGGCACTCTCGTCAACAACATGAAGAAGAAAGCTGACAAGGACGAGCCAATAGAGCTTAAAGAGTAAGAACAAGTCCTACAATCCTTTCATAGCTTTTTGCTTTATCTTGGACTGTATTGATCCACAAGGGAAATTACTTGGACACAGTAGTTCACACATCACAATATATTATAATAACAAAGAGAAAAAACATATAGAAATGGTAATAGTACATTCTAAATAAGTAGTGAAAATAGCAAAAGACTGGTATCTCTCTTGAACTTCATATGTACAATTTGTTGCTCATTGGCAAACAGCCGCTGGCTACCTCCAGGCAGAGGAGGGTGTGTCAGGGTGGGCTCCTGCTCCTATTCTTTCCATCTGAATTTTTTGCAGAGTTGCACTAAAATTAATGAATACTGGCAGATGGGTTTAATGAGGGTGTTTTACTTCTTCTAACTGTTAACACATAACATTTAGATCCAAATGTTACCTTTTCTGATGCTCTGCCTCCCCTTCCTTTGCTTCCCATGTTAAGTCACTCCCCCTTCAGAGCACTATCACAACACTATCACAATCAGCATACTCCCCGCTAATGAGACATTGCATCAGGTTTGTCAAGTTGCTGTGTATAGTTTTATCATGTTTTTTTATATTTATTGAGAATTGTCCTGTGGGAGAATGGCTGACGTAGGCTTGTGGGTGGAGCATTGCAGAATCTTACAGCTAACTGTAAAGAGGGTAGAGAACCTCTTCAGGCATGATTCTGATGAGCGACTGACACTATAACATGGTAGAAAGCTCCAAAAAAAACCTTAAACATTTGCGATGTTCTAATTGCATTTTCATCTTGCAGCTCTAACATGTGCATGTGTGTGTCAGGTTCTTCGGGCCCTATGCCATGGACGTAGTGACCAGCACTGCCTTCAGCGTGGACATTGACTCTCTCAACAACCCTTCAGACCCATTTGTTACCAACATCAAGAAGATGCTTAAGTTTGACCTGTTCAGCCCTCTCTTCCTGGCCGTTGGTACAGTAAACAAAGTCAAATGACTGATTTATACATTTATATAATTGTGACAGTTTGACACTAGTCTCTTATCTTGAATTTATTATTACCATCTATATTTTTCCTCGTTATTATTATATATTGTGATGTGTGAGCTACTGTGTCCAAGCAATTTCAAAGTCTAAGTACGGTTTCAAAATATAGATTACTGCAGAAAATCATACTGTTTTAGACCTCCACAAACAATGTGAAAGTCTCTGTACCTGATTTATACTGTTTTAAATACGAGCATCCTAATTATTCACTGCTTAGTTTAGAAGTACTTTTCACAACTTTCAGAGACCAGAGCAGCATTTTGCTGTGACTGTAAATCTAACAATAACAACCAAAAGCATTCTAACTAGATGGAGAAAGCACACAACATACTTCTTTTGACCTCAAGAGCTGCTTATACAGTATATCTGTACTGGGGCAAATACATTTCGCACAGATACATGAGGGAAAAAACTGGGTACAATGCATTTATTGTTAAAGTGTTCAAAATTTTAACTGGCCATATTTGTTTACTGGGAATTTTTCTGCTATAAGAGAATATGAAAATTTGAAATTACTACCATTTACAAACATAGCCACTGTATAATATATATATATACTATATTGAAACTGTAATTGTCATAGATTGGTTGAATGTGCTGACTCGTTCCATTTGTTGCAGCCTTTTTCCCATTCCTCGGACCAGTATTTGAAAAGTTAGAGTTTTCCTTTTTCCCTACTTCTGTCACGGACTTCTTCTATGCGGCTCTCCAAAAGATCAAATCCGGCCGGGAGGCCAGCCAGCAGAAGGTTTGTTGAGATTTGATTTATCTAGTCATGGCAGAACCTGCAAAATTGTATATTTAGACTCCTGATAGTTTTTTTTTTGTGTTTTTTTTTTTGTTTTGTTTTTTTGTTTCATTCACACGTGTTTCATACCCTGCATATTTAGACTGGGTTCTTCTCTCAAAATAAAAACACATGGTAATGAAGGAAGTAATCACCTGCGTTTTTCAACACCATACACCTTAATTAGAATCGTTTGAATGATTTCAACTCTGGAATTGCCAATCTCTACTGCACAAACGTTAAAAGGTAGTTGTTAACTTGAAAACTACCACTTAATCCTAACATCACAGGGTAGAAAAGAGCATTTTGAGCTTCGGAGATTTAGACAGACTAATAATGAATAATAATAAGGATTACTCAAACATGTATGAATGAAAAAAAACACAACTCCAGGTCTGTTTTTGATGAGGTAACAATATTATAACATGGCTTAAAGCTCACAAGAATCAATTTTGTGTAATATAGGATCTTTAAAGCTGGGCCTCATTCATGAAATGTTCTTATGAACAAATTTGTACTTAAGACCTTCTTATAAACATTTGTGGCATTCACAAAACTTTTTCTTAAATGAAAATGTTTTTTTGGAAGAACAAATCCTATAAACAGGCACAAGCACTCATAAGAACAAATATTATACTGTTTTAGGATATTATTACTCTGATAATGACAACAAAAAAAATCTAATTCCTCCATCATTGTAAGTGATATACTTTCTGAAATTATTTCCTATAAACATATGACTATGTGATCCAGTAACATTTATGAGGAGTTTTCCAGAGCCTGTTTCTATTGGGTCTAACAGACTTTACCCAGGCTGCAGTGAGCCTCAGTCTGTCCCAGCCTCCTGATCCCCCCTCACCCCCCATGGCCAGACCGCACTCTTATGCACCCCCACTCCTTCTTTTATGAAATAATTTTAGATGAATATTGTGATTTAAATTGTGCAAATTATAGTATAATGATCCATAGGTGTCATAGATTAACAATATGGCAGACACAAGCATATGTTTTCTTTAAACTATAACATGCATGCTGTATATTAAGATTTGCCATTTTGTTCTTCATAAACTGTAATATTGATCTTAATGGCCCTGTACCCGAGTCCACTGTGTACTGTCTGTATCTAATTCTAGTCCATCTATAAAGCCTTAAATTATCCAAGTATCAGGAAGTGCTCTGTTAGCATGGTTGTTGTGAAAAGTGCTTCGAAACTCACTGTTGTAAGTGAGGAATAACTTGCACCACAGCAAACAGTATAAAATAAATCAACTGGTTCTGTTACAGTGCATTTAAATCTTTATTTCTACTTGTGGAGAATTGAAATTGCTACTTCTGTGCTTTCTTTTAGAATCGAGTGGACTTTCTGCAGTTGATGATTGACTCTCAGAAACATCACGTGCCAAATGATCCCGAGAAGGATAAAGGTAAAACACAAATACAGTTCCATAAACACTTTCCATACTGACAAAATGACAAAGGTGCTGTAAATGTCTAGAGTCGGGTTAGCTACTGCAGTTCAGAAGGTTTCAACTTTGTTAAGGTAACTGGGAAGACAAAACATTAAATTATGCACAAAAAAGGGTATTTTCAAAGGACAGACAAATTGAGACAAACTACATCATATCTGAAGGTTCCTCTATCAACCTAAAACATGTGCAGAAAGTCAAATCGAACCAGCTAAGGTAGTACTGATCAAGACTAGCTCAAGATCTGGGGCCTCATTTATAAATCTTGCTTACGCAAAAATCCGTGCGTGCGCTCTTCCTACGCCAACCGCGGTATTTATAAAACTCGACGAAGGCGTGGCTGTTTGCTTAACTCTACGCCAACACGGGACCTCCTGTAAGTTCTACGCAAAGTCTGGAGACACGGGGAAAAAGCGACACTCGTGGAGAGAAGCAGAAGTGAACAGAGTTTGAGGAAGAGTTTGATCAGAAAATCCACGTATATAGAAGAATTACCTTCAGATTTGCGCATTTAAATGGTTAGTTGGCCAAAACAAGGAGAAAGTCTGTTTATTCCAGTCATTATTCTCCACAATATTATACATTTGAAATTCGTGCACGAGCGCAGCCACGTTCCCGGACTCGGTGTAGCGCAGAGTCCCACAGTCCACACCGCGACCATAGACTTCTATAGAACACAGACTGTGACCAACACAGAGGACGAAATATTGACCCGACCTGAGAGAAAAACTCTTCCCTTGGACGCAGCAGGAGCCAGGCTTTGATTTAATGAACGCAACTTTAACACTTTTACTTCAGTCTTTACGCACCGAGCGCCAGAGTGACCCGAGTCTGCGGACAACACGAAGCCTACTGCCCGAACCTGACCCCAACCAAAATCTTCCCTACATTTTTGTGTAATGGGGAACTCTTGTACATGAGAGCTGCTCTCTGACTGTATGAAGAACAGAATAATGCCCGTGCCCGTCCCGACCCAGACCCACACTCACAGACCCAGACCCACACTCACAGACCCAGACCCACACTCACAGGTTCAGCAGTTTGGATGTTTCGTGTGGACTTTCATTGGCAGAATAACATCTGTATCTGATGTGTTTCATGCTAAATCTGTGTCCTCGTGTCCCTCCCTCGCTCCTTTCGCTCTCCAGGGGAGGGCATCTGAATCTCTCGCACGCGCTCATAATTTTCAGATCAGCGCGTGCACGTATCTACGTGTATGTGCATAAATACAGGGGCAGTCCTCACACACATCATAGACAGACTTAAAAATATAGCGATAAAACTCTTGAAACAGCGAAAAAACACATGGGCTTTACTGTAAAGATGTGCTGCCTAAATATTATAAAATATGATTAAATGAACAGATGAGTCATTGTTGTCACTTTTAGTTTTGTATTTATTTATTAAACAAGGTTTAATAAAGTCTTTGTCGTGATCACGTGGTGCTGCGTGGAGCGTCCTCCTCCCTCTGTCCCGCGTGTCTCGGTCAAACCCACTGATTATCGGCTCATGTTTAGGGAAATCTCATTCACGAGTCACTTTACATGCTCCTTTTATGGTGAGGTGGAGGTGTGGAGAGGGCGTGACGTGGGTTTACGTGCACAAATTCTAGTTGCAGGTGGGATTTATAAAGCAAAGATTGCGTGGTTTGGTGCGTGCGGTGGGTTTTCTAAATATGGAGTTTGCGTGGCGCACGCCTGTCGTAGCTACTCGGCGTACGCACTAACTTACGACAACTCCTCCGCAGTTTTTTATAAATGAGGCCCCAGGACTTTAGACAGGGCACAACTGAGCTCTCCAAGGAACCAGCTGTGAGTCCAAAGCACTGCCAGGCCCTGTGCTCTGTCCAACGCCTGTGCACCCACTACACCTATTGTTTCCTTTGAGAAAAGACAACTTCAGCTTCCACAAACACTACAGGGCTCGTCTCTGGAGTGCCTGCTCGCTTCTGTCTCCAGAACAACAATTGGAAGAGAGAGGTGTACCCTGGTTTGGCATTCCCTGGTTCAGACATTAAAAAGGCTTCTGTCGCTGATGCAAAATCGTGTCAGAAAAACTGCTCTGAACACCCACAGTGCCACTTCTTCACCGTCTCTCCAAGTGGGAGCTGTTATCTCAAAGCTGTCCTCACCACTCCTGCCCCTGAAAAGGTCGTCACTTTTAAAGACGTGTCTGGCTTCAGTCTGACGGAGCAATAAAGAGATCCCTGTGTGTCAGATGCCCTCCTGTTCTCCTGTATTCTCATCATATATCTATCATAATGTCTTGAGGGTCTGTGTCTCCAAGTGCTGAGCCTGTACAACAATGGTAAATAAAGTTAGAACTCCAGCCCTCCAACTCCTCTTCCCACTATGAGTAAATCTTTAAGTGACAAAAGCTTTTTGTTGACAATATGAAATGATCAGATATGTTTTAATTTGTCAAATTTTTCTGTCTATCCTTTGAAAATAGCAGATTTTGTGTATTACTTAATGTTTTGTCCTTGAAATTACATTATAAATCTGTTACATCCCAAAAGTAAAATAATATTAATTGTATTAATATATTTGAAAAAAATATATATAATTTCTGGAAATCATCTTGCAACCCCCACCCCCTCCACTGTGACCCGCACTTTGGGAACCACTACAGAGACTGGCATTTCCAGGGCCTGCTTCTGTTCTCAGCCTAAATATGCAGGGCTTGTGTGTTAAACAGGCATGAATGAAACAAAACACAACTCCAGATATGTTTGTGATAAAAAAACAACATTATAACATAAATTGAAAAATAGCTTAATATAAGTGCTTTAAATCAAAATACAGATATCTGAATTGGAATAATTTGAGGTGATTTATTACTGTGCCCTGTATTATAATACCTTTACATTGTGCTTTGTTCAGGGCTGAGTGATCACGAGATCCTTTCCCAGGCCATGATTTTCCTGTTCGCCGGGTATGAGACCACCAGCAGCAGCTTGAGTTTCCTGGCCTACAACCTGGCCACCAACCCCGAGGTGATGGAGAAACTGCAGGCCGAGATCGACTCCACCTTCCCCAACAAGGTGTGTGAAAGCAGGGCTGAAGGGTAAGGGGAGGCCTCCCAGATAAACCCAATATAAACCCAGCCTAACAAAATCTATAATTTTGCAACAATTACTGTATTTACTCTGCTCTGGTGTTGTCACATTAAAATTTTAAAATTGATTTCAGTCCTAAAGAATAGACTTGATACTCGGTATCAGTTCTGATACCACAATGATAATCAAAAACACTCTTCCTTTAGACAACAGAATGTCATTGTAAAGTACAGTGGAATGCTGGGGCACTGTTAGCATGCTAGCTTTCTTTACATTACCATGATGGCCAAAGGAATGAAACTGGGAAATAAGTATGGACCACTGTAAACTCTTAACATAATATTGTGTGTTGTGTAGGCTCCATTGCGGTACCAGGAGCTGATGCAGATGGAGTACCTGGACAGTGTGGTGAATGAGTCCCTGCGCCTGTACCCCATTGCGGCGCGGCTGGAGCGGGTGACCAAGGCCTCAGTGGAGATTGACGGCCTGCTCATCCCCAAAGATATGGTGATAATGGTGCCCACATGGCCCATCCACCGAGATCCAGACACATGGCCTGACCCCGATGCCTTCAAACCAGAGAGGTGAGCAGAGACTCTAACTACACTATACACCATGAGTTTGTACAACAGGGATGAAGTGAATGGCTTTAGGCTCTTCAGATCTGTGTCTGCCCATTTTGTAGCCTGGCAAATCCAGACTCCTATTGCTGTATTTTTTATACAGAAGGACTCACACCCTCCGCCAGGGCTTGATTCAGACAGAATCAGATTATTTCATCTGTTTTTTTCAGTAACATATGTAAAACATGAACATTTTGAACTAAATCATATTTCTCTCCAATGTGATTGGGAGTTTAGTGCTTCACTCATTGATTCTGTGGATATTAGCAATGTTTTTCAGTCCCTTCAGTCCCCTGTGATATTTTTCCTTTCTTTTTTCCAAACAAACATGCTTGTCATGTTTGTTTTGATATGGATGGACCATGGCTGTCCCTGATTGGCTAATCCAATTGCACTCATCTGAATTCATGGAGTTTCAGTGGTGACCACACTCACATCTATGTAAAGTATTGGAGAAGTGTGTAGACAACCCTTTTTGGCCCACTGGTACTCTAAGCCTGTCCACAAACATGTATCCTTGTTAATTAATGTTTTAGTGCTGAAAGCACTGCGTGATTCCTTCTCAGTTTTCTCAGAGTTATATTTATATATCTTAAAAGAATGCATTTGTTTGAAAGTAGTAAAATTAAGAAACCCAACTGAACCAATGTGCATGTTTACAATGCAGAAATTGTAATGATTGTATGATAATGAGTTCTTTTTGTGTGGCTGTCTAGGTTCAGCAAAGAAAACAAAGACAAGGTGGACCCATATACTTACATGCCGTTTGGCTCTGGACCCAGGAACTGCATTGGAATGCGCTTTGCTTTGGTCTTGATGAAACTGGCCATTGCTCAGATCCTGCAGAAATACACTTTCATTACCTGTAAAGAAACTGAGGTAAGACTGGCTACACCAACATATCAAGAGACACTGAAAAATGAGAGACATTTTCATCAATAATATAATTTCTATTACAAATTTTATTTGTTGTATTTTTTTTTTTCAGTTAAAATAATTGAAATCAACCTTTTACAAAATGCAGAAAAAAGTACAAATTGCAATCGAAGTTTATTAAAGAAACTGTATGTAACCTGTGCTCTTACAGTAAAAAAAAAGAAAATGTACTACAATCACAATTGAACCTGGGTTGTCAGTGCATTAAAGGGCAAATATTACACTATTTTCTGATTTATGTTATAGAGTTGTTCCCTCATCACAAACATGGCTGGAGTTTTGTTTTTCTTTTTTTTTACACAAACCCTGCATATTGAGGCAGAAAACACTCCTTGTTCCTTCTTGTCATTTGGTAATACACGAAGTGCTCCACTGCGTTTTTAAACTCATTACACCTTCACTGGAATCCTTTGGATAATTTCAGACCTGTGATTGCTAATCTTTACTGAACTAAATGAAAGTAACTAAAAAGGTAGCTGTTAACTTGAAACTACCACTACATGACAACATCACAAGGTGGAACAGAGCATTGCAGATGTAGACAGACTAATAATAATGGATTTCTCAAACATGTGTGAGTGAAACAAAACACAACCTCAGGTATGTTTTTGATGAGGTAAAAATATTCTATCATGACTGAAGGCTCACCAGAGTCAGTTTTGTATAGAACCTTTATAACCTGCAGATAAAGGACACATCCAAGTGTTTCTCATTTTCAGCATATGGACAGTCCATGGCTCATGTGAAAGCTCAGAACCTTCAGAATTCCCTCCTTGAGCTGCAGAGGCTGCGCGAGCACTGATTCATGCTTGACTGCAGATGCTGGGGTTTAGGTAGTGACCATTCAGATCAGAGAGGGGCATTTTAGATTAAACTGGATTTCAATATTGAAACTGGCAAAACAAATCAGAGACTCATGTGAGGCCCATTCTACTTCTGATTGGATAATCACTTTGAGAACCAAAACACCATTATTACATAAATAACTTGGCCGTAATAGCCTAAATGTTTTTGTAACTGAGATCAGCAGTTACAAATCGGCATAAGACTTGTTATTCTTAACAGCTATGTTTGGATTGTTTATCTTCTATCTGGGGACACAGTTAGGTCTATGTTTATAATTCTAAATCAAAATCTAGTTCCTTAAACCCTATTTACAATGTTGATAGGTAATATTGGATCACAGGGTCATATTATGTAATTAACCATTTGTGAGTCCAAAGGGTGACCAACACGAACTGTGCCCTGCCATTACATAAAAAATGTTCACTCTCTGTGCTGTAAAACTCTCTCTTCATGTGTTTCTCTTCTCTTGCAGATCCCACTGGAGATGGACATTCAGGGGCTTCTGGCACCAAAACGACCAATCAAACTGAAGCTAGCGCCTCGTTCTTAATCTATTGCAGATTTTTACTTCCTGTGTAATGCCTTAAAAGTGATTATAATGTTTTATTTTTGCAAAGATAAGATAACATAAGATAAGATGCATTTTCAGCTAGTCTGTCTGTGTATCACCACGTTGCCTTTGTTGTGATGATTTCCTGCACTGTGTAGACCATAAAACACCATAAATCTGTTTTTATTGGGGATGTACCAATCTAGTACTAGTATCAGTTATCAGTGCTTATATTGACAAAAAAAGCTGGATCGGATATTGCTTTCAAAATATCAATGCAGCCGATATCCTGGTTGGACATAAACATTGATGTAATAAGACTATTTACTGTATGTAGCCAGTCCAGAAAGTCTCATAATGTTTGAACATTTATCTAAACAAAGTTGTTCTGTAGTTACTTAAGAGATACATAAGAGCTATATAACACATTTGGATCAGTTTTATGGTATTTTATTTTGGCTTTAAAGAAATAAATGCTAATTTCTGCAGTAGCATGCACTGGATGATATTGGCAGGTACTTCAAGTTGTAAAGAAATTTGTATGAGAACTGAGAAAGCTGGATCAGTGCACCCCCAATGTTTATTGCCACCTTTCAATAATAAAAAAAACATTTATCAGGTAGATTCTGGTAAATCTTTTTTACTTGTTGCAACTGTCTTTTTTCAACTGAAGCTATGAGCACAGCTTTGAGTTTTTAAATAGCTGCAAACACAGGCTCATTATTGTACATTGTATGAACTGGCTCAGTGGATTTCACTACGTCTAAATCCAAGAATGAGAAAATAACATTAAAGGTTGTATGGAGGATTTTTTTGTTTCAAATTGTCAATGATAGCATTATAGAGGTGCAGTAGCCTTGTAATTATGATGACCAAAAAAAAAGAGAATAAAAATTCATCAACTCTGGACATGGTGGGGCTAAACATTTGCCAATAGATAACGACACTACCTCGTTATCTGTTAGCTGATAGGCTGTCAATCAAACTCCCTACGTTTCTAGCGTAACTGACTTGCCTGTGCGCTGCCGTTACGTGGTTTACATACGCCTGTCACGCAGTCCACAGACGCAAGACGCACAGACGCTGTTTACTCCACCAACGCAACAGTTCTTAGCGGCTTTTTTGACCTATATCTTCCTCGCAGTTAGCACAAAGTTTGTTGCAATGGCGACAAGAATCCAGGAGCAGTTAGACGCAAAAGAAAGTTCCTTTTTGAGGTCGCTGAAAGAAGAACACAAGGGGAAAAGCAGCGAAGCCAAACTAAGGTGATTCTTGTAGATTCATTCCAGCGATGACGCAACTGAAGCAGACGAAGGGTCTAAAGACTGACGCACTGGTCGCCAAATTACTCCTGGACAGGAAACTTCTGCTTATTATGAAAACGTACTTTATTTCCAAGAGTTAGACAAACATTTTTCAGGACACGAAAGCGATATCCTAAGTCTGAAAACGTAATTTTCAAGGCAAAGAAAGAGTCCGCTTGCTGCTGCATGTTGTAACTAGTTCATTCGCACGGAATCTCCGCGCAACCTTCTCTGCGCAACCTTCTCTGCACCCCTTCCTGCTCCTCTCCCCGCTGCCCGTTCCGCTCTTCTCCCTGCACCTCACTTCTCCGCGCAGGGAATCTCCGAGCACCGCTCCCTTCTCCTCTCTCCTCTCCTCGCTCCCCGCTCCGCTCTTCCTGCTCCGCTCTTCCCGCTGCTCCTCACTTCTTGTCCGCGCACGAAATGTCCGCGCACCCCCTCCACCCGCTCCTCACTTCTCCGTCTTGCCTAACCAACACTGTAGTTAGTTGTTTACAAGTCATGTGCAGCGCACCGGCTGTAAAAAAAACCTGTTTCTGGCGTAAGGAGGAGGAGGGAGGAGGCGTTTCTACGTAGGGAGCTGTGGGGGAGGGGGGGGTGGTTTCACGCATGCGCAACATTTGAAAAAGGACAAACAGTCGCTGGATTTCTCGTTCCTTGGAAAATCCTCTATACAAACTTTAACATAACGTAAACCTGCTGCAAGTCTCCAACGGGACCTGGAGAGAGCTACTGGATTTCAATGGGACCTTCTTTGATAAATAAAACAAAAATAAAAATTGTAATTGTAATTTCTCACCACAAACATAATGGCCAAAAACCTTTCAAAAATGTCCCCTAATGTAATACATACCCACAAATACACTAATAATATAAGACATATATGGTGAATTATGAATTTGTTATATTGTAGACACGATCACATTTGGACCTGAACGTTGGTAGTTTAATCACTGCAAAAGGTCCTTCAGCAAAAGCAGATCGTGCAAAGCTGTAGCTCACCAGTTCCAGGATCATGGCTCAGGTGGGGGATGGGGATCAGCTAATGATGAGCTTATGAAATCAATGCCGTTTCAGTCCTGGTTGTGATTTGTTTTTAGATCCACAGATACAGACTCACATAATCCTGTATTTTTTTTTTTTTTCCCAATGGCCTTTCTGGTTGCAAGGTTCATGGTTAGAATGAATTTTGAGAGTGGGCCAAAATCATCAAGGCATACTCGTAGTTGGCAGAAGGCCTGGGCCAAAAGCTCAATCATCTTACTGATCAGATTCTTCTTTCATTCATTTCAACATGTTGAACTTTATGACACTGTTCATGCCTCTGATATTTTATCAGTAAAGTCATTCAGTCCAGGGACTTTCACAGAGACCACAAACATGAACACACATTAGCGTTACTATCAGAGAAACAGGTTGTGTGTGTGTGAGTGAGTGAATGATTCAGATAAATCCAGGGAGGGACCTCACTGATGATATACCATTTAAAGCTACATAAAACTGAATAAATCACTGTCCCCTATACAAAGCCGTTGGTCCGCTCACACACGTTATGCACAGCACCACCAAGTGCATGCGGGGACACCACCACAAAATGAGGCTCATGAATCCTCGCAAAACTATCCATCCAAAGTGTGTGGAGAGAGGTGAGAAGCTGGTACCAGTGTGAACAGAACCAAAATGTATTTTTCTTTGTCTCTCCCGATCTCTCTGTCTATCTCCCTTACTTTCTCTCCATCTATCCCTCTATCACTCCCTCTGTCTGGACCTCCTTACATGTCAGGAGATAATCTTCGAGGGGACATTTTCACTTTCAAATTCTTATTTAAAGTGTTTTGATTGAGTAAACCTTATTGAGCAATTATTTGTACTTATGTACATTATTTACCAAAGAAATGTGCACATTACTTACAAGGGTATAGACTTGTTCTGTGTTTACAATGTGTTTAATGTTCAGTATGCAGTCATTGCACAAATCTTTGTTTATAATAATGGTGGTATTTATTTATTAACCTTTTTAATAATTTATTATTTTAACTTTCATGTTTGGTTTATTTGTTTTGGAAATAAAGCAAATCTGAATTGCACTGATGAATTCTGAATTATTCATTCCGAGCAGGGCAGGGGGGGCGTGTTAGGGTGGGGTGTGTTAGGGTGAGGTGGTGGGATGGGGCACCATAAAGCATTTGTGCTTAGGGCACACGAATGGCTAGCAACGGCCCTGCCCCTATACCTTCACTCTGTTGTTAAATGGTTAGAAGCGCCATTCAACGTGACGTGTTCTTATTCCAACAGCGCCTCCGTGTGGTGCGTAATGGTAATGCCCATGCAACAAGTCTTTCCGGAGCGTCCCGCTCCGTTTGGATTAGACTATCCACATTTTCCGCCCACCTTGTTCTTTCTATGTTTATAAACAGAGGAAAGAGATAAAAAAAGAAAAAAATCTGAGTTGAACAAATGAGAGACAGGACACACAGACACCTCGTGCTCACAGTTGGCGTTCCTTTAGTTTTTTTTTTTTTTCCTCCAGGCTACTTTCAATGTGGGTACTACATTGGAATAAAGAAAATGAATGTAAGAGTGTATTCCATACCGAAAAGATTGCAAAGTGCACTTGTTGTGTCTGATAAGCCAGAAGAAAATGTGTAAAAGAAGATTTTAGAATTTTAAGCCTAATGCTCATTTACCATAAGAAGTAAATAGTAGTAAATAAGCTACTGTTTAGTGCTGTAGTTTTATTGCCATTATAAAAAAAAATAATAAAGTAGTAATGGCTAGAATAGTTATACACAAGCAGCAATATTTAAAATAAATAGACCTACGTCATAATTCAGACGTACTGTAACACTGAGTGAAGTTTAAAGTTGTTTTTGTTCAGTTGTTCGGGTTGTTTTTCGTGATATTGGAGGTCAGTTTGGTCAGTGTAAACACTATAAAGCTTGACCGCCCTATCACTCCCGTCCTGTCATAAATCCGGTCCTGGTCTTGCTCGGAGCGGGACTCCATGTTGTTCCGTCCGACAGCCACGGAGCGAACAAGTGCCCCGGCCGAAAGTCTCACGTTGCAGCTCTGTGTGCGGGAAGTCCAGTGCGAGTGCGAGTGAGTTCACTAGCCGATAAAAGATGGCAGACTACAGGGACGACTCCGGGGCCCGGGCCCTACTCGCACTGCAGTCGGCTCCGTGTAGCCCGGTGCGTGTGGCGGTGACCTCTCGCTCCTACCCGCAGTCTTCGCTCTTCCTGGGCCCTCCGCTCGTGGAGGCCCGTGGGGACGCAGGGGTCGTACCGATGCGCCTGGGCTCTCCTCCGCTGCAGGCCCTGGCTAGGCTCGAAGGCCGGGACTTTGAGTTTGTCATGCGCCAAAGGACGGTCACCATCGGCCGGAACTCGTCTCACGGCTCAGTGGACATCAACATGGGTCACTCCAGCTTTATTTCACGGAGACACCTGCAGATCTTGTACGACGAAGCGAGCGGCTTTACTCTGCGCTGTCTGGGCAAAAACGGCGTGTTTGTGGATGGGGTGTTCCAGCGCAGAGGGGCTCCCCCGCTGCCGCTGCCCCGAGAGTAAGTGCTCACTCTGACTCCAAAGTTTGTACAAAGTACACCAAACTCATGTGCAAAGTGAACACCGATATTTCAAGGGATTATTCTGAACAGGCGCCTCATTGAGGTTGACTTGAATCAACAGGTTGTATTTTGCCTGTAATTCAATGGGTGTAACAGAATAACGACACGCTGTTATTACATAACACACCGAACCTCAGTGTGGTGCTTCAACTTAGTCTTTAGACGTACTTCTGTGTGTAAACAAAATTGTTATTATTTTTTATAGTAGTACATTAGTGAAGCCTGCATGTTTGACTTGTGTTTACAGTGTAGAGCTTCACTTTCCGTGAACTCCTCGGGTGCTATCTTGTTAGCACACCTCTGTCACTGTTTATATTATCAGTTTTGTTTTCAGCTCGGGGCTTAGATCGTGGGACGTGTTGGGTCACGTTTGTCTGCCATGAAAAGAACTATTTTCCACAATGTGCTGTCCTGTAGAAAAGTGCATTTTAACAACATTTTGTAATGAACGCGTTAGACTTGAGTAGCTAGTAGCAGCTAGCGTGTAGCACAGCACGTAAACACTAATGTAAACAAACGCACCCTGCGCTCTGGAGCGAGTCCGCCCTGACTAAAGTGTGTTTAGTTTGTGGTCACACTTTCCACATGCTTTGTTTGTGGTTGGTGTTTTATTAAATATTATACATTGTATTAGTCTTCCCTGTTTTATCTCTGAAATAGGAGCAGAGTAGACGTAGGACAAAGCCACGGCACAAACTCTGTGCACATGAAGTTTGTATGGCCTTCTAACTGTGGCCATCACGTTTCCGGAAGAGGTGGTGGAGGGGCTGCGGTTCTGTCGGCCGCTCATTGGCTGCAGTGATTGTTTGTGGGCGGGTCTTAGTAGAAGCGGAAGCGCAGACTGAAATGGCATGCTCAAAGCACATGGAGTAAATAGGTTTGCTCACACGGCCAATACAATCCTATCAGTATGATTAGAGTGACCAGACCTCCCCTTTTACCAGGGACAGTCCCAGTTTTTAGCCCTGTGTCCCCTGTCCCAGTGGACTTAATTAGTCCCACATTTATACAAGAAATGTCCAAAGTGTCTCTATTTTTGAGTAATCTGATCCCTGCCAACACGAAAGAGAGGCATGCATTGTCATTTGATTAGGTGAAATACATAAAAGCTGCATAAAAATTACCAAAACACAAAGGAAATGTAACTATACTGACTCAAGTCATGTAAGTCATGAATGGGTCCAGTAAGGAACAATTTTTCCTTAATTCTGCACTCGTTTCACAATTTTATTATTACCAACCGCCACAAACCCGGGGGTGTCCCAGTTTCTGTTTTTGAAAATCTGGTCGCCCCAAGTATGATTAAAGTATATCAAAATCTTTAAATAGACTGTGTTCATGTGTTCAACGTGTCATAATTGTTTTCTTTATTTTCAGCTATAAAGTATTGGAATTATATGTTAGAATTCATCTCTAAATTGTTTTTACCTGGTAAATACAGTATCTCTATAACAGGCTCTATTCACAAAAAGTTTGGAAACATGCAATTACAACTTCCAGTGTAGTTTAGTTACCGACACTGGGCTTGCCAACTGACTGTGACATAACCCCCTGAAGTAAATGTCATCTGTAAAATGAAGACAGCATACGTATGTGCTGTTTGGAAAAATCTTGATTTTGGCCCCCTCACCTCTTTTGCACATACCCAGTGCGCTCAGAGTTGATTGTCAGTGGGGAAATGATGAGAACTGAGATATAGTTGTAAATGTTGATAGCCAAACATAACAGAACGCTACAATGACATGGAGATGAAGAAAACTGGTCCATTTTCAAATTTTTCCTAGATTTTCTCAGACTTATTACCACAAACAGAGCCCACTAGAAGTTGCCATCACATGTTTCCAAATGTCTTCCTGGTTTGGGACGCAAGCATGAATAGAGCATGGATCTGTAATAAAAATGGGATAAGGCATTCCCCCTCTGTCCAGGCTTGAGACCAAGTAGTGGCTGTTCCAGGTACTGCAGCTCCCAGGAGCTTGGGCCCAGGAAGAATTCTCCCAGAGAGAACAATGCATTTATTAGGAATTAAACATACCCACATTTTGTAAGATTATTTTCTATTTTCACAGAATAAACTTTAAAAAAAAATTTAAATCCTCAAAGCGCCTAAAAGTTAGCTTTGTAAGAGTTAGCCTAGCCCCGCTTTGAGCCCACGCTACCGCTGCTCTAGCAGCTAGCACTCTGATTGGTCAAAACAGACCACGCAGTAGAGCCTATTACTGTGTCTGCAATAACTGACAAAAACTAATTGAAGAATCAGATTTCAGAACATGTTTGCACAGATCTGAACTTAGCAGTTTGTATGAAGAATAAGACAGGACTTTTTGTTTGTTGAGGAAATTATAATACTTAAAAATTGCAGCTTTTGTGATTCTGTAATTGCATCCACTCAAATTGTGATTTTGATTTGAATGTGTTTAATCTTACAGCTGTAGTTTTAAATATTATTGGCCTACATAAAGTGATGATTGTATGCACCGATTATGTATTGGCTGTCTCATTGGCCATGTTGTTGGAGTAAATCTTTGTGCATAATAGACTTTTAACTATGTTACAGTTGTTTTTCATTTACTCTATGGAAGTTGTGTTTAGAGTGAATCAAGACTGTATTGCTCTGATCAACCCCCATTTTCACCTCCACGGGTACACACCCACTGTTCTGTAATTCGTTGTGTGGGTTTTCGGGGGGGGAGTGTCAGCGCCCAATTGGTATTGCACAAGTTGTTTTAGATGAATATTGTGATTTAAAATGTCCAAATTCTAACATAATGATCCATGGGTGTCATAGATGTAGACAGTAATAATAAAGGGTTAGTCAAACATGTGTGAATGAAACAAAGCACAACTGCAGGTCCATTTTTGAGGAGGTAAAAGCTCACAAGAGTCAGTTTTGTGTATTATAGGACCTTTACTAAAATTGTATTCAGACATTGTACAATTTTATTTTTTTCCTCTTGTCAGGTGCATGTTTCGGTTTCCCAGCACAGTAATAAAGATTCAGTTCATGTCTCTGCTGGAGCCTGAAGAGCAGAGGGAGCTGGACCCCTCTCCCCCTCCCAGACCCCTTCTGCCTCACATCTCCCCACTGAAGATCAGCATTCCCACGGCGCAGCAGCATGAGGAGCACCTACGGGTGTTTGGGTCACCCCTGCCCTCGCCCACTGGCACCATCAGGTACACACACACACACACTCCTGGCTTTTACTGATACTCTTGATTTGAATATTTAGACTCATTTAAACCTTTTAACATATTTCTGGTTTCAAGAAGTTTTTTGTCTGAATGTGTGGAGTCAAGTTGAATATTTTTGATAGGGAATTTATCTTTGATACAAGGGCAAATCTATGTTATAATATATAGTAATGTGTCAAATAATTTAAAAAATAAACAAACAAAAAACCCTCAAAAGTATTTCAAGTAATTTCAGCCAGTTTACATTCAAACAAGTTAACAGATTTGTTTTTGTGGAGATGTTATGCTTATCCTCGGATCCTTCTGAGATGGATGGAACTTGAATTTTCCGAGTTCCATCCATCTCAGAATTTCTACTCGGAAACTCTGGTAACATGGTAACACTTGAGGTCCAAGTTCCGACCTTCCTTGCATAAATGGAATGCAGTGTTAGAACACCACACTGCTGTGTAACATCCAGCAAACAGCTAATAATAAGTTGTCTGTTACTATTCCCCAGAATGGGCTGCTCTACAAAGCATCTGTAAAATAGATGTCTATTTAGAAACAGCAACTCATGCATTCGTTACAGAATAACATTTAAAGATTCAGTAAAACTGTTAATAATAATGATAATTGTTACAGCTACTTAAATAATAACTTTTTTTGTCTTTTTATTTATTTATTTACAACCTTTTTTCCTGACAAATTATATCATAATATATTGAATTATTCAATAATTGTCATTGTTATAGAAGAAAAATAAAGTCTGTGGTCACATGCACACCAAAATCTGATCAGTATCTGATTTCTGGACCTTTAGGAATATTTAAATGGCATGCAGCTTTTAAAAACTGATGTAATCACAGGGACCATGATCAGAAAGAAACCAATCATTTGCTAAAATATGCTGAAATCTGCTCTAAATTTCTTGGTTGAGGGTCAAATATTGCACTAAGTGAATGAATTGTACAATTAAACCTGAATGTGCAGAAATATCCCCTTATAGCCCTGTTTGAAAGATGAGCCCAGGTGTCTGTTTCGGTGTCATGTTACACTATCAGAAACTTCCATATGGTTGTAAATGATACAAGAGTGACTCATTTGATTCTTTGGGTCTACACAATAAGGCCTTAGTAACACAAAAGAAACAAACAAAGAGTACTTGGTTAAGATAATCATTTTAAAGTTCTCATAGTGTAAAACAATAGTAATGGTAATAGAGGCTTCTGGAAGCCTGGAAAAATCCTTATATTTGGAGAAAATTGTACTTACAGGTCCTATATTACTCAAAATTGATAACAATACTGTATCTATATATCACCAAGAGTATTTTTAGTGATGGTACAAGATCTCCTGCCACAAGATCTCGCGAGACATAATTGCCACAAGACTGCACGCACAAGAGAAAAATGATCTCGAGAGATGTTTTTCCAAGTGTTTACATTTGGATTGGACCAAAGGGGTTGGTGAGTTTCATCGTACATGTACATAAAGCAGTACTAAAATTGAAACAAAAATAATGAAATAAAAAAAAATAAATAAAATGTGGACAAAATAGAAAACTAAACTGTGAAATTTATATATTAGGAATTAAGTTAAAATCTCGTCTTGTCTCATTTCTCATTTACTAAGTCTCGTATTTTGTCTCGTCTTGTGAAAATTGCATCTCGACCCATCTTTTTGTGACCGCACTACATTTTTGTTGCTTATTTAGAGGAAGGAAAGTTGTTTATACAAGACACTTGACATATTCACAGTTTTGATGATTAAAATAGATGTATTTTAAATAAATTTTTCACAGATAGTGGTTTAATAAAGAAATATTGTTTTTAAAATGTATTTGGTTCTTAAAAAACAACAATATAGATAGATTCTTTATTTATCCTGAAGGAAATTCATTCGTATATACTATTTTGAGCCATGTATTGCATTGAATCGTAAGGGGCCCTGTGATTCCCAGCCCTGATTGTGAGATGTTTGACGATAAGATATCAGAATATTTAGCTTATTATTACATTGATATGCACAGTGTGTAATATTATTCAATTACAAAGAACATGAAACTACTTTGATAATTCTATGGTGAGAAGTATTGCTGTATTTTTTTGATGATCGCTAATCTGTTCAAACCTAAATCAGTGATTAATGAAAACTACAAACTCTGCTAATAAAAAAAATGAAATCTAAAAGATTCAAATTCCACACTCCTAATGCTTTCAAATAAACATGTTTCTTTTCAGTCAAAGAGGCCATAGTCTTTTTGTTGTGGACATGTTGGAAAATAGGGAGGCAATTATACATTTTTTTTTTTTAGTCAGGTAAATTTAGATTGAAATTTGAAATGAAAACTTAACTAGCAAATATAAAATAACATATAAAATAAGATAAATAAAAAATGTTAATAAAATAAGATTCAAGTTTTATTAAAAAAAAGAAAGCAAGAAAAAAATACAATACAAATTTTACAATTTATTCTCAAGTAGTGTTTGTGTGACTTGTCAGACCCACCCTAAAAAACTTCCTCAAACAGCCTCCTCAAAACCGCCCTAAAAAGCCCTGAAAATTCAATATAATTTTTCGCACATGATTTCACAATTCAAGACACTTTTGCTTTCGATCCAGCACATGTTGCACAAATCACTGCCGCCTTCCCCCTGTCGCCCCCTCCTGGTCCCCTGTGCGCCCCGCACCTTCACCTCTCCACCAATGTCAGCGCAGTCCGGCCCGCCATATATGGAAGGGCTGCAGCTCGGAGGCCTCTGATTGGCCGTCGGGCGGGGTACTGTTTAGCTTGTTGTACTTTTTCCGTCCACTGGTGATTTCCTTTTCTGAGCCCCCTTCACCCCCTCCTCCTCCTCCCGCCCCTCCTCCTCCCCCTCCTCGGCAGCTTCTGTTGGCTACACGTGGACACCAACAAGTCCCCAGTTTTGCCTTTCAACAAGATTCCCAAAATATAAAGTAAAACTGATTTGATGTTGGGGTTCTTCTTTTCACATTTTAAGTGAATAAATAATCTGAATTCATTTGGATATTTTGACATTTGATATTTTTGAACTTCAACTCTAGAAAATTCTTAACTTGGCAGTAAGTAACTGTAAACCTTTTTAGAATGACAGATTAGGGATGTCAGGTTATTATATACAGTTTAAAAGTTACAAATATTGTGAGAAGAAACCTCATAATTTAAAGCCACAGTATGTAACGTTTTATCTAAAAAAAAGTTTACTAAAATTAAAGCATGTTTTTCCCCATTTTGGTTGTTTTTATTAGACTGTAAAACGTGTCCTTTCTTTGAGTAGGCTTGCATCTCCGCAAACCTGACTCTTATTTGGCCTGGAGCATAGCATAAAGAGTAACATGGAGAAGTATGGTTTTAACTTTGTGTTTCCACGGAATTATACATATGACACGCCATGTTGCACACTGTTCCTATAATTACTATTTTCGAATATTGACCCCATGGCAATGTTATTTGAATGGAGACAGTTAGCGAATATCAAAGGCAGTAATATTTGGAGTATTAGAATTTCATCAAAACATAAAAATACCCCCCATACAAACTCATTAACTGTTGTTCCAAACTAATCTGTTATCAAAGTAAGTGAAATCCTTACTACACCTACGTACTTCATCTATGTCATAGGTTTGTTAATCAAACTTTTTTTTTTTGAGTATAGATTGAATAGAAATGATATAATTTTGTACTATCGCAGTTGTTTTTGGATTTAAGATTATTTTGTGACCTGAAATAATCACAATCAATACTCGTCCAATTTTTTTCCCCACAGCGCTTTATAGTTAGGGTGGTCGCCTTGACAACAATTGCCTTCTACCTTGACTACATCCCTCCGAACTACGTGAATCCTCGCAAAACTACGATCGTCACGCCTTGTTCCTCTTTTTTGCCCGCACGGTATCTCCTCCCTAGTCCTCACTTTTGCCGGCATGGTATCTCCTCCCCCGTCCTCACTTTTCGCTGGCACGGTATCTCCTCCTCCGTCCTGACTTTTGCCCGCACGGTATCTCCTCCCTCGTCCTCACTTTCGCTGGCACGGTATCTCCTCCTCCGTCCTGACTTTTGCCCGCACGGTATCTCCTCCCCCGTCCTCACTTTCGCTGGTACATGGTATCTCCTCCTCCGTTCTGACTTTTGCCCGCACGGTATCTCCTCCCCCGTCCTCACTTTCGCCGGCACGGAATCTCCTCCCCCGTCCTCACTTTTCGCTGGCACGGTATCTCCTCCCCTGTCCTCACTTTCGCCAGCATGGTATCTCCTCCCCCGTCCTCACTTTGGCGCGGTATCTCCTCCCTTGTCCTCACTTTCGCCGGCACAGTATCTCCTCCCCCGTCTTCACTTTCGCCGGCACGGTATCTCCTCCCCTGTCCTCACTTTCATCTGCACGGTATCTCTTCCCTTGCCCTCACTTTAGCCGGCACAATATCTCCTCTCGAATCTTCACTTCCGCCGGCACGGAACCTCCTATCCCGTCTTCACTTTCATCGGCACGGTATCTTCTCCCTCATCCTCACTTTCGCCGGCACGGATCCTCCTCTCCCATCTTCACTTTCACCAACACGGTATCTCTACCTTGATTACCCAATTTTCTGCGGGAAACACTGTTGTCTATGGTAGCTATGATCTTTACTCCAAAAACCTAAGCAAAACAAGAACTAAACACTATTCCCTACCTAGGGCACTGTTTAGTGGTCATGCAGTGTCCAGCAGGTAAAAATTTAGTGCACTCAAAATTTCCCACAATGCACCTTGAAAAGGAGACAATATAGACCATAATGCATTGTGTAAGTCTGAAAAACAACAGTGGACAGAAACACGTCTTTAAATGGACACAACACGACTGAATGAAAACAGATATATGTGCTAGTTTAATTCAGCACTGTGAATAAAACACTTAACCTTAGCTCAAGCTGTTAAAAGATCGATCATTTCCACATCTCACACCTTCATCTTGACAACAACTTGTATGGTTATTAGTCCATAA